TCAAGGAAAAAAGCGTTAAATATTTTTTTGGAGAATTAGAATAAGAAATCAAGTTAAATTCATAACTAACTAACTACATTTAAAGCGCCTTACCGTATCTTTGTGCTTAACATACTTAGCTTTGTCCCCTTAACATTTCCTCGTCATCTTTGCCTTCCAAAGAACATCGGATTTGGTCAATTTCTGCCGAACTGCAAACGAGTAATTTGAATTAGGTCATCATAAATCAGCATTTTATATAAAAACGCCCTGTAAGGTTCACTGGCTAACCAAGGCTTAATTTTATACCTCTCTCGAAATGAGAGCTTCTCTTTTGGAGAAAAAAACTGTAGAGGTGAACGAGCAAAATTTCCTTTACTAATTATTTCAGCCACAACATGTTTTTAAAATTCAAATGTGATGTTTGAGTGAGGGGTACTAGGAGATCAGTGATTGAAATCCCTTTTTACACTCTTTGTGTTTATTGTCCTATAAAAGACTTTTGTTCTATTCTGATATGATCGATACAGTTACAATCACTCTTATTCTTCGCCAACGAATTTAGATTTTTATCCAAGCTATTGACCCTTTGCACATTAATTGTTAGCTCAAATTGGCTATATAACAAACGGAGGCTAGAAGAAAACATGGGCATAATAACCATGATGTGCTAGGGTCTTCGAAATTTTTAAAATAGCAATAGGTTTTTAATTATCATAACATCATTAGCTCGAAAATAGTTTTAAATATTCATGTCAGCCAATCGTTGACATAGGTGGGTTGTAGTAGAGAAAATAATGGACACTGCCTTCTAAAAAAGACAAAAACACTACTGAGAGAGAACGAGACTGTTTACGAGAAAAACCAAACTGAAATCAAATGCAGGTTGATAACCGGCTGTTCCCTTGTATACTGCTACTGCTTTGCGGAAGGGCTGCGGCTCTCTCAGACGAAGGTGAGAATTTCTTTTTCTGCCAATGATCAATTATTGCTCACATCGTGCATAGTAATAATTAAGAATGTGCTAATTATCACGAACTGCGCTCGCTAAGTGACTATGAGATATTTGTCGAGGACTGCTCCGGAAAGACCGTGCTCGGCTTTGATGAAGGTGTATCAAACAAATTTTACGCATCGAATTTGGACCAAGATGGATTTAACGAATTGTTTGCGAAAGCAGAAGAAGTTTCTTTCGCTATCTACATTGAAAACACCAACTTTGTAGATTTGAAAATGCCGAAGCTTCGCAAATTAAAGGGAGGTGAGAAAAGTCATCGCAGAGTCTAAGAGAGTAATTGACTGTTTGAGGCCTCTCGATCCGTAACAATGCACAGCTGAAACGATTCTACATAAATGGAGGATTTAGTTACGACAGATCTACCACTTCTCCAACAACTGTGACAGTTGATGGTAATCCTGTTCTTAGCCAAGAAAGTATGGATGGCCTTCGACAACTCTGCAGCTTCTGCGACATTTTCAAGTGGACCAGTATGTCTCCAAAAATGTTTTTTTTTGTCACAGAAATGTATTTTCTTGCGGCTTTCAGAATGTAGCGCCCTAGAGCAAGTTACGGAAGATGATTACGCAGAGTTGGTGAACAAATGTGCTGGGGAACGCATCATCAAGCAGAAGCCAGGAGCTCGGTTTTATCTGAACGCTAACAAGCTCAGTCAATCACAATTTAATGCTTTGTTCTCGCAAGCAACACATGTACAGATGTGCATCAACTTCCACGATATGCAATGGAAACAGATCACGTTCCCTAGAGTGGTTCGACTCATTCCCTGCGGTTACGGTAAGCGTGTTGACTAGAAACTCTCCAATTGCTATGTTCATACAAAGCCATTCTTCAGGAGATCCATCAATTGATGTTGTTCATAATTACTACCTGACCGCAATCAATCTCCCATCCTACAATTCGGAAGGATTTGGTCGTCTCAACCCGATGATGAACGTGGTTCTCAAAAACAACTTCGTGCTTTCCCCTGATTTGATCACATCCTTCAAAGCAAACTGTCGCTTCTGCAGACTTTTACAGTACAAAGGTAAAACAATTTTGCTTATTACATATAAGATACTTTCAGAAAAGTCATAGACTTCTGACCATTTTCAGAGTGCGATAGCATTGCCGCGATAAAAACTAGGAACGCAACCGAATTCGTGGATCTGTGTGGAGGAAAGAGGATAATGTGGCCGAAGAAGGATAATGTACTCATTCTGGACATTTCCAAGTTGGAGCAGAAACTTATAGACGAGTTGTTCGCGGATGTAACGAAAATGAAGATGTGCATCGTCTTGAGAGGATCTCAAATCAAACATCTAAGAATGCCGAACCTGAAGGAACTATACGCATGCAAACCAGGTCGAGTTAACCTTATGGTTATGTGATGTCATACGCGACTGAGCAAGACTTTCAGGTTCACCAGCATTTATAATCGAGAACAATCAGTATCTGGAGGAAATCATTGTCTCACCAAATCTCCAGTTGCAAGAGGAATACTTGTTCGTAATCGTTGGCAACCGAAGATTGCCATACGAGAGCTATCATCCTTTCGAACGATGCAAACACTGTGTGATAGAGCGAGAAACGGGTGAGAATCGTTTCTTGAATTATTTTCTCCAGGCAGAAATCGATGTTGATTTGCAGTATGTGGGTTGGAAAAATCTGGTTACCAATCGGTCGAAGAACTCATGTCCAATTGCATGGGAAAACAGAAGATCGTGTTCACAAAGGAAATTGTTGTCAACGAATACCAATTCGAGCAGCTTTGTAGAAATGCAGTTCATCTGAAGATGTGCATCAACATAATAAACACTGACTACAAGAAAATCAGTTGTCCCTACTTGCGCTACATCGAACCGTGCCAACGTGGTGAGTCTTAGCTTAAGTAAATCTCAAAACACCAAGCAACGTTTTTAAAGAGTTACGCTTAACCTATTTACCATTGTGATTAAAGGACAAGCTCATTATGTTAGAATATGTTGATCTTAGGCTCATTATATACCAAGTGCAATTTGATTCATTGGAGTTACATTGAACCTATTCTGCTTCAATTGTTCATAAGAAAATGAATGTAAAGGGAGCTCATCCTCTTTGAGCGGAAAGGCTCTACAAGCAGAACTTTTTTTATTTTTTAAGATACGCTCGTTTCAGGAAAGTCGGTGTTCACAATTATGGAAAACCCATATCTCATCGACGTCGACATCCCGGAAACTGTTACCTATCCAGCTGATGCAAAGATTTTGCGCGTGAAGAAGAACATGAGACTGCCAATGATAGTCATAGAGAAGTTGAAAAAAATCTGTCCACACTGCGAAATTGAAGGATACGCTTCAAGTAAGCTGCACTGAAATATAATGGGCCAAATCAGATTATAATCGAAATTGATTAGATTTACAAATTTCTCTTAATTAACTTATAGGAGCGTACTTATCAAAACCGTTTCGATCTTAAATGTTTAACATGCTTCACTCTATTTCTGAATACCTCGCAATAGCACATTTTTCAAAGAAATACATTTTCAAATTCTACACTCTAAAAGAACATTGCTCTTTCCTGATTCAAAAGAAAAATCGTTTCCCATCGCATGCGCATCTCTGCTGAAAGCAGTAGACATCTTGGTTTTACCTCTTGACGACATTTTGAAAAAGAAATGCAAAACCATTAAACCCGGCCGTTGAGCTCGCTTTAGCTTTAGTGACTGCTGTTAGTATGATAACAACTGATATCTTCAAAACGTCGATATATCGTGTGATTCAATTATTTAGGATGCTTACGATAACCTTGCTCCTAATAGCACCGGTTAACGCTTTTCTTACTCTCGAACGATCCTACTA